TGTGTGTGTGTGTGTGTGTGTGTGTGTGTGTGTGTGTGCGTGCCGAGGGGTTGGCGATCCCCCCGTAATCAACCAATCAATCAACAATCAAAACACGAAAAAAATTGGAAAAAATAAGAAAGCGCAAATACGCGTGTGTGTTTGTGTGTGTGTGTGTGTTTGTGTTTGTGTGTGTGTGTGTGTGTGTGTGTGTGTGTGCATGTGTACCTGTGTGTGCGTGCGTGCGTGTGTGTTTGCGTGTGTTAGTGTCTACGTGTGCATATGTGTGTGTGTGTGGGGGGGGGTTGTTTGTGTGGTCATTGCACTTGGGTGGTGAGGAGATGTGCTGCTCTTTTGCAGGTCAAGGATGAGGGACGCTGCGATGGGACACTCACGATCTGGGGGAGTGTTGATGGTCAGTTAAAGTTTCTATCGAGCTCTGGCATCATGTGTGGGAGTGCAAGTCTTTGCTGGAAGCAGGCTTCCGCTTCTGCAATTGAAATATTGCTCGCTCGCCTGCCAGGGTACTTGGCGGTGTCAGTCAATGTCAGCTGCGCAGGGGTCGTCAACGAGCATGTGGGGACTGCATACATCCGCGCGTCCTCCGTTATGCAGCGGGGGGGAGCTGATTCGTGGTACACCTTGTGCAGCGACGGTCAAGCGAGTGAATGGAAGGATGCAAGAGTCCTGCTGCACCTTGGCTTTGTAGAGCTCCATGCTGATGCGTCGGCCGTCAGATCAGCTCGCGGGCTCCAGGAGATGAACAAGTGGGACCCTCCAATAAGTATGTCGCCGTTCCCTAGCCGCGAGGGCAACCAGGTCACACTCTTTCAAGATGCGATTGTGCCGAGCAATTTCAGCCCTAAAATAGTTCTCGAAAATGGGACGATGTATCAGCAGCACAGCCTGTTCGAGCAGATTTGCGTTTCGGTTCTCAATGCGAAGCACTTCATTTACATCGTTGGCTGGGATTTCCTCAGCAGCCTTGTCCTTGTGAGGGGTGACAGAGGTGATCCTCGCTGTCGTGGTGTGTCAATCGGACAGCTGCTGACGCAAAGGGCGCAAGCAGGTGTGAAAGTGTTGCTCATGCTTTGGGACAATGAGTTCAACTTTAAAAACAAGTTGTTTGACCGGATTGGCTCTGAGATCGCTCCGGATACGCATTCGAAACCTTCGTGTGCTTGGCTCTGCCAGCGGAACGTGACGTGCATCACAGCCAAGCGGCGGGACACGGATGTTATGCACATTCCGGATGCGTTTACTCATCATCAGAAGGTGATTGTGCTTGACGCTCCGGGCAGAACAGAAGCCAGGGTCGTCGTAGGGTATATCGGCGGATACGACCTGACAATCGGGCGATACGACACACCCTACCACCCTCTGTTTTTTATGCCGAAGGACGATGTTTACCAGCCGAGCTGGAATGGAAATAGTGAGCCGCGACTCCCGTGGCACGACGTTCATTCGAAAGTGGTGGGTCCGTCGGTGTGGGACATGGTCGCGAACTTCGAACAGCGATGGAAGGCAATCGATCCCGGGCATGATTGCCTGCTACCGACCGCGGGAAAGGGTCCACAGGCGGTTCTTTTCGATTTCCAAAAGCATTCCCAACTGTTTGAGTCTAAGCAGGAAGTCGCCTTGCCGAAAGATGACCCAGAAGCTTGGAACGTGCACGTCATTCGGACTATCGACAGTGCATCGGTCGCCGGATTCCCTAGTCGTTTGCAGAGGGAGGATCCAATACCGGTGGTAAAGGAAGGCCTCTACATCGGCCCGAACTCCAGCTACGAAAAGAGCATCTACGACATATACATGGGTGCCATCCAACGAGCGGAGGATTTTCTGTACATCGAAAATCAGTATTTCATAGGTGGCTCACAGTACTGGTTGGAGAATCGCGATGTCGGCGCCGTCGAGAAGATTCCATCCCAGATAGCCCATAAAATTGTGACAAAGATAGAGCGCAGAGAGAACTTCGTGGTGTACGTTCTCATACCGATGTGGCCAGCGGGCGTTCCAAGCGGGAGGGCGGTACAGGAGATACTTCGGTGGCAATACGACACGATGTCGATGATGTACAGTGCGGTCGCTAGTGCTATACATTCACAAGGGCTGGCTGGCGCAAAGCCCACCGACTACCTGAGTTTCTTCGCCTTAGTCAATCGCCAGAAGCTTCCAGAAGGTTTCAAGCTGTCGGAGCCGTCAAGCGACCTCAACAAAAAGGCGCAGGAGAACCGTCGATTTCCAATCTACATTCATTCCAAACTGATGATTGTGAGTAACTTCCATTGGATTCCCTCATGATGGCGCCTTAAGCTTCTCTCTGGCCCTTCTCTCTAGCCTTTCTCTCTGGCATTTGGGCCACGATGAGTCCCCCCTGGTCCACATTCTGCTACTCCCCCCTGTGCCCTCCCCTTCGCACAAGTGTTCGGT